TATTAGGAACTCATCAATATAACTGTAAACTATGATGCATCCTTCCAGCATCCACTACTCCATGGGGGTTCTAATACACTGTTACTGAGTGCCACCTGCTAATTTTCTTGTTGCTTGATTCATTCATACCTTAGATGGAATCCGTCCAGCCCTGGTCACTTGAAGTTGTGAAACACTGGGATTCTCTTAGAACCACACTTGGCCTGTACCTCTTTCAGATATTTGTATATACTTCATAGATGATCTCATCCATTTGTTCACTCTATCATTCATTCATTCTTTAAAGGAGAATTTGTCATACACTCTATTTGCTTGGCACCCTCAAGAATGCCGGAAGTACAAAGAGGAATCAATCAAATACATTTACTGCCTTGCCATGTTTAAGAATAGCAAAATTTATATCTTTCCACACTACTGAATATTTCATATGTATTCTCATATCCAATGTCCAAAACTTTGGATCTAAGGATTCAATTTCCATGTGTCAAGGTAAAAGGATTGATAGCTATCCTATTAGGAAAGTTGAAGAGGGTAGCGGCTGCTAAGCCACAAACTCAGGATTGAAAACAGCAGTGAAATGATGTCAAAGCCAGCAAAACTAGCTGAGTAGGTAGCCCTCAGGTGAGTAACCCACCAATATGCTCTCTGGAACACATTTATAGAATTTCCCCTCTTTAGCACCATCCATATTCCCTGGTAATCACTCATTATTAGGGCCTTGTGTGGGTCCCATGGCACAGTGCCCAGGGAACCAACCCAGAGTAAGCATGAGTCCTTTCTTCCTAAAACATAGCTTTACTGTCTGTGAAAGATAAAGAAATTCAGACTCTTTTCAAAAGAGGAAGTGATTTAAATCAATGTGGTGTTATCAAAATATGTCCTGGGAAGTGTCATTGATTGCAGAAATGTTTTTCTAAGTACCAGACGTAACAGTTATACTGATTTGTGGGTATAAGGATAAGATTTAGAATGTAGTTACAGAATCAAATTCGTCTAGTAATGTGGTGTTAATAGATTGTCTCCTAAGATCCATTATCTTACCAGATCCATGGAGTTAGGTAGATTTCTAGTACAAGCTTGGTTTTCCTTCTGTTGAGGTGGCCTTACACAAATGTTGATTACCACCAACATGTCATTGCCTCTATTGAACCCCTAAGGCTGTGTTACTGTTCTGGCCATTGCTTTGGTTCTTAAGTGTCACAGCTAAGAAGGATTATTAATTGCTTCCTTCATTTGGCAGCTTGCAGTGTATTTTCTGGTACTATGGAAGCTTGATCTCAGTAAGGAGACTTTCAATTAGATGTAGTTCCAATAATAGGTGTCTTGTGTTCTAAGTGTTCATTTTCTTCAGGAATAGAGATTACCTTCCACAGGAGAGAGGGAGAAAGAGAGAGACAGGGAGAGAGAGAGAGAGAGAGAGAGAGAGAGACAGAGAGAGAGAGAGAGAGAGAGAGAAAGAGAGAGAAAGAGAGAGAGAGAAAGGAGAGAGCAATTAAGTCAAGGGCAACAACAATATTGTATATGTTTTGTCAGTCACTGGGACTTCCCTGGCCAATCACTCAATAGGAGGTTACTTGTGTCCAGTCCTAGGGTTTGTATTAGTTTACATCTTTCTACAGCAAATGCAGACCATCAGAAATACCCCAAACTGGACATAGTGCAGACATCAATAGATTGTGGAGAGCCCATTCTCAATGCATACATCTGCAGCACAGGACTTACATCCAAGTATCAGGGAACATTTCAGACAACAAGGTATGGAAAGTTTAACAGCGATATTACGGGGAAGTATGCTGTGAGATTGTAGATATAGCTACATAAACAAGACGTGAACACTGACAATCAGAAGACATGCTAACACAGGAGAAGGGAAATGTCATGTGCCTATCCAAAGAAATACAGGCAACTAAGGACTGCTGAGTGACATAGTTAGTCTATCCCAGTGTCCCTTGATTGATTACTCAATACAAATTTGTATCCCTGAAGCATATACACCAATGACACAAAGAAAATTGAGCCAACATGGTGAATGTGTGTGAGTTTGTGTGTACATGAGTGTGTGTGTGTATGTGTGTGTGTGTATGTGTGTTTGAACACAAAGAGTTTATCAAATTAATAGCTGAGAGACATGATATGGGCTCTTTAAATATATCTTTAAAAACTAGGACATTTAAAATATTAAAAGCCTGTTTAAAAAACACCCTTTAGCATTCTTTTTAAAAATCAATTTAGAAATTACCAGGTTTCCTTTTGACATTTCATAATATTTAATTTTGTTTGACTCTCACTGTGCCTCAAGCCTAATCCTCACTCTCCTATCTTCCATACCCACAGTACCTTTCTCTTCCATGTACAGTCCCTTCCAATTTTGAATCCCATTGTAATCTGTTACTTCCCCAGCTAACTACCACTCTTTTATGAAACCATTACATATTTCTTTGGAGGGACAAAGTTGGAATTATTTCCATTTCCTGTTGACTTGCAAAGCAGAATCACTGGTTAGTGTTGGCTTTTATTATTAAGGGGCAGAGAAGGAGTTCAGAAAGTGAAATGACCATGTCTGAGAAAACAGATGGTAGAGTATTTGGAGAAGTAGATAGCAGGAAAGAAGGGGAGGAATTCAGAAAAAAATTGGAGAATTTCTCTGGAGCTCAAGTGCAATCATTTTATCTGCCTGACATCTAGATAAAATAAAATATTTTAGGGGAAATTATTGTGTCTCCCCTTGTGTATTACATTCCATATTTTTCTAATCCTTTGACAAGATATGTGACAAGAAGCATCTAGAGGGAGGAAGGATTGACTTTGGTTTATAAGTCAAAGGGTAAGCAGGGTGGGACAAGGCTAAGGCCATTGGTGACTTTACGATCAGCAGCCAGGAATCAGAGAACAGAAATAAAGTAGAGCCAAGGCTATAAAAACAGAAAACCAAAGGCACAGACAGGTAAAGTTATTTGCCACTAAGCCTTGCAACCTGAGTTCTATCCCATGGTGCCCCAAGTGTCCTTCCCACACACAAAAAAGTCACTGCAATAAATGAAAGGAAAATAAACAAAACCAGAAGGCCTGCATAGCATGAATCACAGCTCCATGTCTTAAAGGATCCTCAACCTTATGAAACAGTGCTACCAAATTGAGACCATGTGTGCAAACACAGAAACTTATGGGGAAGTTCCAGATTGAAAGTACAACCCACATACATTCCTAGGAAATGTAAATAATTTTTGGTGTTACAAGTGAAATGGATTCTCTTCTAGTCCTTATTTTTATACAAGTTTGTCCTCACATGACTAATATTATCAGGGTAGCACCATTTATCTTGAGATCACTGTCAGATGACTGAGAGGCACATACCTGGGATATACAAGTGCATCACTTGGTGTGCATACCAGATTTTCAAAGCATGATTTTACATTGATATCAAATATCATCACTCCCCCCTCAGTCTGTCCTTATTACTTACTACCAAAGCTTGAAACCATGTAGTCTACCTGTCTTTTATCTTATTCCTAAGTCTAAGGGACACAGGAAACTCCTTTCCCACCTAACTTCCTAACAGGGCCAGACCACTATTTACTGAGGAGTCTCAGTGCTCTTGCTGATAGAACAGCCAGGAATAAACTGCTAATACCTTGGCTAAGTTGGAGTTGTTCTCTGGCTATGTTACTTTGAATGTACTTGGGCCCCATAAGGTCATAGGGAATGGCACCATTAGAATGTCTGGCTTTGTTGGAGTAGGTACAGCATTATTACTGTGGGGTTGGGCTTTGAGGTTTAATATATGCCCCAGACACACTCAGTGTCTCAGAACATTTTCTCTTGCCTGTAAGTCAAGATGTAGGAATCTCAGCTCGGTCTCCAGTCTCATGTCTATCTTCAAGCCACCATATTTCCCTCCATGACAAAGATTGACTAAACCTCTGAAACTGTAAGTCAGCAAAGTACTTGTTTTCCTTATAAGAGTTTCCATGGTCATGGTGTCACTTCACAGCAATAGAAACTCTAATCGGCCTAATATCTGGCCTTAGAATGTTTTCAGGGCAAGAATATTTTGTGTTTTTCTTTGCCACTCATGTCAAGCCAGCCCCGGTTGCTTACTGAATGAAACACTGAAGCACAACTTATCAACTCAACTGCTGTTAGTGAGAGATCCCAACTCATCATTGTTAAACCCCTAGGGACTAGCCCATCACAGAATGACTTGCCCTTCTGCCATCTCCTGAGAAACCGGAGACCTCAAGATAAACTTAAAAGATAACCCTCCCTGATCCAGGAACTGTACAATGCACAAAGAATGGTTGCTTGAGATAACCTTCCTGTTAAGACACAAGCTATCATTTAACTTCCTCATCCTTTATGATGTTTGCCTAACTCCCCCATTCGATTTTCCCTTTTAAAAACCCCTGACTGAAGCTACTAGGGGTCGAACTCCTCTGCCCCTGTGAGGGTCATGAGCTCAGCCCCAGTGAACTGGTTCCCTGAATAAACCTCATGTGCTTGCAGCAAGAACTGTCTCTATTGAATTATTGGGGCATCGGCTTATCCTGAGTCTTGAGTGAGGGTCTCCCCACTCTGGGGGGTCTTTCAGTTGGGTGGTCATCCAGCATTTGCGACCACCCAAAATCTTGGTGACCCCTCTTTGAGGTAAGACTCTGTCCTTGTCTGTGTCTTTTGTCTGCAGGCTGTCTGAATCTGGTACTTTAGGTTTGCAGTTGTCTGCGATCGTGAGAGCCATCTCCCTATCTAGGATGGAGAGGAGAGTTATCGACAAACATTTCAGGAGATAACTGACTGTTGCCCTGGGAGACATCCCAGGAGGTCTGAGGGAAGTCCCGGAATGTCCGGAGAGTGCCCGTCTAGGTGCCAAGGAGAGACTTTGCATCCACTCGGCTGTCTGATTCTTTTTCCTGGTGTTGAAAGTCCTGCGAGAGGCAGGCTCTGTTTCTGGCATTCTCTGATTTTTGAGTGTTCTGTTTGTCTTCTTTTATGTGACATGGACGATGGGACAGACTGTCAGTACTCCTCTTGATCAAACTCTCTACCACTGGACAGAAATTAGAACTAGGGAACGCAACATGTCTGTAGAAGTTAAGAAGGGACCTTGGAGAACTTTTTGTTCTTCAGAATGGCCAATGTACAAGGTTGACTGGCCTCCAGAGGGTACACTTGACCTTACTGTGATTTCTGCAATTAAGAATGTGGTTTTTCAGAAGGGATCAGGGCCTCACCCTGACCAACAACCTTATATTTGTGTCTCGGAAGATCTAACACAAGATCCTCCATCGTGGTTAAAACCTTGACCCAGAAAAGTAAGCCAGTCTCCCAAGTACTGGCACCCTGAAACACAGAAAAAAATGAAAGAAGAAATGGCGGTGTATGAACCGCCAAATAAGCCTCAACCCTCGGCTCATCCTAAGATATATCCCGAAAATGAGGAGCCTCCAAAACGGCCTAGTATCCCATCCACTTATCCCCTTCTGATACCCCCTCAGAATCCCCAACAGGGTGCCCCTGGAGGAGCAGCAGAAGGACCAGCCACCAGGACCAGGAGCAGATGCGCCCAGAGTCGTGAGGGTCCAGATTCAACTACAGCATTGCCTCTGTGTGTATACGGCCCACTACCGGCGAACCCTGACCAGCTGCAATTACTCCAGTATTGGCCCTTCTCTTCGGCCGACCTCTACAATTGGAAATCTAACCAAGCCCCTTTTTCAGAAAATCCCTCAAGCCTTACAGGTCTGACGGAGTCCCTCATGTTCTCTCACCACCATCCTACTTGGGATGATTGCCAACAGCTGTTGCAGGTTCTTTTCACCACCGAAGAAAGAGAGAGAATACTTTTAGAGGTGCGGAAGAATGTGCCTGGAATCAATGGTCAACCAACTCACCTTCAGATTGAAATAGATGCAGGCTTCCCCTTAAATCGTCCTAACTGGGACTACAACACAGCTGAAGGACCAGCCGCCAGGACCAGGAGCAGATGCGCCCAGAGCTGAAGGTAGGGAGCGGCTGAAGGTCTCTCCCCAGGCTCTGGTGGCAGGTCTCAAGGGAGCCGGCAGGTGTCCCACTAATTTGGCCAAGGTAAGGGAAGTTCTACAAGGGGAGAATGAATCCCCATCTGTGTTTATAGAATGTCTCTTAGAGGCTTACAGGCATTATACTCCCTTTGATCCTACTTCCGAGAGTCAGCAAGCAGCAGTTGCTATGGCTTTTATTGGACAGTCTGCCTCTGATATTAGGAGAAGGTTACAGTGCCTGGAAGGTCTGCAAACATTATCTTTGCAAGACCTAGTTAAGGAAGCAGAGAAAGTGTACCATAAGAGAGAGACTAAGGAAGAAAGAAGAGAAAGAGAAAAGAAGGAAGCCAAGGAGAGACAGGATAGATGGCATAGAAGGCAAGAAAGAAACTTAACTAGGATTTTGGCCGTAGTAGTAGGCAACAGGGAAGCTCATAGGAAGAATGAAGGAAATAGGCAGACAGGGTACCTGGGCAATGAAGGGCCAAGGATACCTCGGAACCCTGAAGGACCCCCTCGACAGCCTTTAGATAAGAATCAATGTGCTTATCGTAAGGAAAAGGGGAATTGGGCAAGGAACTGCTCCAAGAAGAAACATAAGACACCCAAGGTCCTTAGAGGAAGATAATTAGGGGAGATGGGGCTCCAGGCCCCTCCCCGAGCCTAGGGTAACACTCACTGTGGAGGGGACCCCTATAGACTTCCTTTTTGACACCGGAGCAGAATTTTCAGTTTTAAAGAAACCATTGGGAAAATTAAAAAATAAAAAAAAAACATAGTAATTGGGGCCACTGGCCAGAAATCATATTCCTGGACCACCGACAGGAAGGTTGATCTGGGAAAAGGTCAAGTAACTCACTCCTTTCTCGTCATCCCTGAGTGCCCCACGCCACTAGAGATTTGCTGTCTAAGCTAAAAGCCCAAATAAGCTTTTCCTCAGAAGGAACCATAGTCAACAGGCAGATTCCCACTTCTATGATCTTGGCCTTAAAACTGGAGGAAGAATATAGATTACATGAGCTCCCAGCCCCGCCAGAAAAAACACTGGTGGGAACATGGCTAGAGAGGTTTCCCAGAGCATGGGCAGAGACAGGGGGGAATGGGAGAGGGCAAACGGGTGACCCCCATTGTCTTAAGCCTAAAATTTGCCACCCCTATTAGGGTACTACAATACCCTATGAGCAAGGAAGCCCGAGAGGGCATCAGACCTCACATCCAAAGACTCCTGCAACTAGGTATTTTGGTTCCTTGCCAGTCTCCCTGGAACACTCCGTTGCTACCATTTAGGAAGCCAGGCACCAATGATTATTGGCCAGTACAAGACCTAAGAGAAGTTAACAAAAGGTTGCAAGATATCCATCCTACTGTCCCTAACCCTTACAACCTGCTCAGTTATCTCCCTCATGACAGAAGATGGTACACAGTTCTGGACTTGAAAGATGCACTCTTTTGCCTGAGATTACATCCTACAAGCCAGGCAACCTTTGCTTTTGAGTGGAAAGACTCAGATCAGGGACAGGCAGGACAGCTGACTTGGACACGTCTGCCTCAGGGATTCAAAAACTCCCCTACTCTCTTCGACAAAGCCCTCCATTGAGATTTGGCTCCGTTCAGGTCAGAAAATCCTCATGTTACCCTGCTTCATTATGTTGATGATTTGCTCCTAGTTGCTGTAACTGAGCAAGAGTGCAGACTAAGGACTGAGAGATTACTGACTGAGCTGGGTGAGTTGGGGAACAGGGATTCATTAAAGAAAGGCCAGATTTGTCAGACAGAAATAACCTACTTGGGCTACACTCTTAAAGGAGGGGAAGCGATGGCTGACTGAAGCTAGGAAAAAGACTGTGACACAAATCCCTACTGCTGCAACCCCAAAGCAAGTGAGAGAATTTCTAGGTACTGCAGGGTTTTGTAGACTCTGGATTCCAGGTTTTGCCAGCCTGGCAGCCCCACTCTGCCCCCTCACTAAGGAGACTGGGACTTTCTCATGGACCCTTGACCATCAGAAAGCCTTTGAAGAGATCAAGAGAGCTTTACTCAGTGCACCAGCCCTAGCCCTGCTAGACCTGACAAAGCCATTCACTCTTTATGTAGATGAAGGGCAGGGATAGCGCAAGGGGTCCTAACTCAGGCCTTGGGACCATGGAAGTGACCTGTGGCCTACCTGTCAAAGAAATTAGATCCTGTAGCCAGTGGATGGCCATCTTGCCTAAAAGCCATCGCCTCAGTGGCACTGCTTATCAAAGATGCCGACAAACTAACTTTGGTTCAACAGACTGTAGTGGTAGCCCCACAAGCCCTGGAAAGCATCATCAGACAACCGCCTGACCGCTGGATGACCAACGCCCGCATGGCTCACTATCAGAGCCTCTTGTTAACTGAGAGAGTGCTGTTTGCACCCCCGGCTATCCTAATACCCACCTCTTGCTGCCAGAGACAGACTACTCATTACACGGCTGCCAAGCAGGCGGCTCAAGGAGCTATGATCCTCGCAGCTGAACAAATAACTAAGGAACCTAAAGATTGTTATGACACTGGAGAAACTAGCTTCAGGTATAACCCTGAAGATCACAAGCAGATGGAGAAACTAAAAATTGTTCATGGCTACTCCCCCCATGGAGTAGCTGAGACAGAAGATGGCAAATCCATACTACCCCAAGAGGAGGGACGACATTATGTCACCAGTTTATATCAACTAACTCATCTAGGGACAAAGAAGCTAAAGGACATCATACATCACTCCGATTATCATGTCATGGGCCTCTTGGACATTGCTCAAAACTTAGTTCAGAATTGCAAGGTCTGTGCCTTAACCAATGCTGGACATCACCTAGGTGCACCCAGCAAACGCCTCCGGGGAAACAGTCCAGGAGCATACTGGGAGGTCGATGTCACAGAAGTTAAACCAGAAAAATATGGTAACAAATATTTATTAGTTTTCATAGATACCTTCTCAGGATGGGTAGAGGCTTTCCCTACAAAGAGGGAAACAGCCAATGTGGTAGTAAAGAAGATACTGGAGGAGATTTTTCCACGATTCGGCATCCCTAAGGTAAATGGATCAGACGATGGCCCTGCCTTCGTTGCCCAGGTAAGTCAGGGACTGGCCACCTAACTGGGGATTAATTGGAAATTACATTGTGCTTATAGACCCCAGAGCTCAGGACAGGTAGAAAGAATAAATAGAACATTAAAAGAGACCTTGACTAAGTTAACCTTAGAGACCTGTGGAAAGGACTTGACAGCCCTCCTGCCCTTCACCTTGTTTTGAGTACAGAACACCCCAGGGGAATTTAAACTCACACCATTCGAGCTCTTCCATGGGGGACCACCCCCCTTGCCAGAAACAGGAGGGGTATTTGATCTTGATGCAATGGTAGCCTCTCTAAACAAAATAGTGCTTCAGAACAAATCCCTATCACCATGGAACCAGGAATGCCAATGTACCCCTATAATTAAGCCCCATAAGGTCGTAGGGAGTGGTACCATTAGATAGTCTGGCTTTGTTGGAATGTTAGAGATTTACTAAACACACATGATCTCAAGGATGAGCTGCCTACAATTCAGACCTAGAGCCTGAGGCTATTAAAGGCAAGAGTTCAGTTAATAAACACAGAGAAGAGGTAGTGTTTACTGGGAAATGAGTAAGACATCAGGACCTTCCCTTTTAGTAGTGTATGAGGGAATAGGCCCATATAGTAAGACTGAGCAAGTGTAGAAGTTCTTTTCAGAAGGTCAGGCATTTGGATAAGGGTCTGAATTCCCTTGGGGACTTGAGGAAAGTCCCTGCTTGGTAAAGCAGTCATTCTTCTTGTCTCTAGCTAGAGGAATGTATAACCCTTCATTAACTTATGGTTGGTGCCTATTGTCAAGGTCAAGTCCAGTTTGCTCATGTGCTCCTTGTCTCCTCTTTAATCCTATGCAGTATAAAAGGTATAATCTCAATGACAGGCTGCTGACAGCAATGCCAGTTCACCTTCAGATCGTGTCTGTTTCCTTTTCCCCACATCAACTCCACACATCCTCCTTGGGACTTGAACCCCCTTCTGAAGCAGGTCTCCTTCAGAATACCATGTGAAAAGGATGGGATGTTAAAGGATTAGGGGAAGGAAAAATGTCAGAAATCACGGGACTTTTATATATCTTTCCTTGGTTTATACTGCAGAAAAAAACAGTCAAGCCATTTGTTTTCCTTCTGGAAAAACATTCTTATTTCCCGTATATTCTCTAAGTATCAGGTAATACCATCGGCTCATAAGGATGTACTTTATTTAGTATGTACCCTACTATCAATTTTTCATTCCAAGGTCATTGAGACTGTATAGCTGTTTTCTTCTCACTGGTTCTCATTCAGTCAGAGACAGTGCATGGTACTTGTTTATTTGTTTATAGAATTAAAAGCTTTGAGATGATGCAGAATATAAGTGTTTATTACCACTCATGAAGGAGCACATAGAGAAACATGCATTTCTTATTTCAATTCTGCTATGCAACATCTATGCACATAGTACAGTATGAATAAATCCTGGATAGGCTCTCATTACCATCACCAGGGTTTTTATTATAATTGTAAATATTTGTTATGGACGGATCTATGCCAGATGGTATCTCAGGGAGAGCACATAGTCAGATGAGGGTCATATAGTTGAAAGAGTCAATGTTCAATCCTTAGTTTCTTACCAGAAATCTGTTTCAAATAGCCTGAGAATGAAGGGAGATCAAATAAGGGAACACAGTCCATATTTGGTCAACCGTCTTCAACTGGCCAACTTAAAAATGTGAATTGATAGCAAAAAAAACAGATAAATGATGTCATAATGTGCCATAAGATTGGACCTTGGAGGGTAAGTCCAAACTGTGATGGTGAAGGGCAAACATGCAATGCAGACAAAACTTACATGGGAAATTTTTGGGGAAAGGGAAGAGAGTAAAGGAAGGGAGGTAGGAGAGAGAGAGAGAGACAAAGAAAGAGAGAGAGAGAGAAAGAGAGAGAAAGAGAGAGAGAGAGAGAGAGAGAGAGAGAGAGAGAGAGAGAGAGAGAGAGAGAGAGAGAGAGAGAGAGAAGGCAAAGTTCTGTCTTCCTCTTTAGAGGAGCAGTGAGAGAAAGAGAGTGGGAGTTGGTGTGGCTGGTCTCTTAAAGGGACCATTTGCACCTGTGTACAAAGTCAGTGTACTACATATCATGTACCCCAAGGGACTAACTACCACTCTTTTATGAAACCATTACATATTTCTTTTGAGGGACAAAGATGGAATTATTTCCATTTGTTGACAATGCTTTCTTTTTTCCATTGTATAATTTTAGCTTCTTTGTCAAAAATAGAGTGGTTGTAGGTGTGTGGGTTAAAATCACGGTTTTCAATTTGATTTCATTGGTCCACCTGTCTATTTGTATGCCAATACCAAGCTCTTTTCAGGACTATAGCTCTGTAACAGACCTTGAAGTCAGGTATGTTGATGCCTCCTGAAGTTCCTTTATTGTATAGGGTAGTTTTGGCTATCCTGGTTCTTTTGTTTTTCCACATAAAGTTGATTATTGTTCTTTCAAGGTCTGTGGAGAATTGTGCCGGAATTTAGTTAGGGATTGCATTGAATCTGTAGATTGATTTTGGTAAGATTGCCATTTATATTATGCTGATCCTACCAATCTAAAAGCATGGGAAATCTTTCAGTTTTCTGGTATCCTATTTGATTTCTTTCTTTAGAGACTCAAAGTTCTTGATATACAGGTCTATCACTTCTTTTGTTAACCTTATCCTCAGATATTTGTTGATATTTTTGTTTATTGTAACGTGATGCGTAAGTCCTATGTATACGTCAGTAAAGCACTCTTGGCCAATAGGGAAGCAAGATAGGTGGGACTAGGAGTCCAGGAGGACTCTGGGTAGGAGAAACACATGGAGTCAAGATGTAGCTGCGATATGGTTAAGAAGTTAAGAACTCTTCTCCGGTAAGATTAATACTTAGATTAACAATTATGGGATAAATACTTAAGTCAGAGCTAGCCAGTATAAAGCAAGCAAGGCCAACAGCTTCATAATTAACTACAGCGTTTTGTGTGGTATTTGGGGACTACAAGGCTGCAAATCCCAGTCACCTGGTGTGGAAAAACCAAAGCAGCTTGCAAGTAAAATCCTGCTCTCTACAGTAAAGGGGGTTGATTCTCTGATTCCTTTCTCAGTCACTTTATCATCTGTATAATAGGGACACTGATTTTTTGAGTTAACCTTGTAACCTGCCACTTTGCTGGAGGTGTTTATCAGCTCTAGGAGTTCCCTTGCAGAGTTTTTGGGTCACCTGTGTAAACACTGATATCATCTGCAAATATTGAAAGCTTCACTTCTTTTGCTATTTGCATTTCCTTGATCTCCTTTTGTTGTTGGTCTAGCTGGAACTTCAAGTACAATATTGAAGAGATATGGAGAGAGTGGATAACCTTGTCTTGTTCCTGATTTTAGAGGAGTTGCTTTGAGTTTCTCTCCATTTAGTTTGATGTTAGCTGTTGGTTTACTGTATATTGCTTTTATTATATTCAGGTATGTTCCTATTATCCCTGATCTCTCTAGGACCTTTATCATGAAGGGGTGCTGGATTTTGTCAAAGGCTTTTTCAGCATCTAGTGAGATGATCATGTGGTTTCTCTTTTGTAGTTTGTTAATATGGCGGATTACATTGATAGATTTCCTAATGTTGAAGCATCCCTGCATTCCTGGGATGAAGCCTACTTGATCATGTTGGATGATTTTTATGATGTGTTCTTGAATCCGACTTGCTAGTATTTTAATGAGTAATTTTGCATCGATGTTCATTAGGGAATTGGTCGCTAATTTTCTTTCTTAGTTGTGTCTTTGTGTTGCTTGGATATCCAAAGTAATTGTAGCATTATGAGAAGAGTTTGGCAGTGAGCCTCTTGCTTCTATTGTTTGGAAGACTTTGAAGTATGGAATTAGCTCTTCTTTGAATTTCTGGTAGAACTCTTCACTGAAGTCATATGGGCCTGGGCTTTTTTTGGTTGGGAGGATTTTGATGACTGTTACTATTTCATTAATGGTTATAGTTCTGTTTAGTTTGCTTATCTGTTCTTGACTAAATTTTGGCAGTTGATATCTATCTAGGAAATAGTCCATTTCCCTTAAATTTTCAAATTTTGTGGAGTTCAGGTTTTCAAACTATGCCCTGATGATTCTCTGGATTTTCTCAGTGTTTCTTGTTATGTCCTCCTTTTCATTTCTGATTTTGTTAATTTGCATGTTCACATTCTGCTATTTGGCAAGTTTGGACACAGGTTTGTCTATCATGTTGATTTTCTTAAAGAACCAACTCTTTGTTTCATTGATTTTTTTGCAATGTTTTCCTTGTTTCTACTTGATTGATTTCAGCCCACAATTTAATTATTTTCTGTCATCTACTCCTCCTGGGTGAGTTTGCTTCTTTTTGTTTTAGAGCATTCAGCTGTACTAATAGTTCTCTTGTGTGGCTGTTCTCCAGCTTCTTCATATGGGCACTTAGTGCTCTGAACTTCCCCCGTAGCACTGCTTTCAAAGTGTCCCATAGGTTTGGGTATGTTGTGTCTTCATTCTCAGTGAATTCCTAGAAGTATTTAATTTCTTTTTTAAATTTCTTCCTTTACCCAGTTATAGTGCAATTGTGCATTGTTCAATATCCATGAGTTCTTAAGGTTTCTGCGATTTCTGTTACTGTTGAATTCTAATTTTAATGCATGTTGGTCTGATAAGATACAGGGGTATATTCCAATTTTATGTAGCTGTGGAGGTTTGCTATGTTTCATATTATGTGGTGAATTATAGAGAAGGTTGTTTCTTCTTTTCTTTCATTTCATGTATTTTTTGTTTTTTCTTATTTTTCTTTAAGGGATTTCCTCATTTCCTCTGTGAGTTTCTCTATTATGTTCATAAAATAATTTTTAAGTTCTGTCTCTTCTGCTTCATCTATGTAGTGCTTTTAAGGTCTTGCTGGTGTTGGGTCTCTACATTCTGGTGGAGTCATGTTGGACTTTCTATTGCTGAGTGAGCTCTTATTCTGACTTCTTCTCATCCCTTCTTCAAGTGGGTGCAGGTGGGGTCTTTCTGTCTCCACTCGTCTCCTTATTTCCTGAAGCTGAACCTGGGAATGCTGGAGGGTGTGTTTTGAATCTGGGGATGCTGAGAATGGGTCTGAAATGACTGAGGGCTTTCCTGTGTGGCAGACCCTATGGATGCCAGGAGAAGGCTACAAGAATATTGATTAAGTGGGTGATGGGCGGGGGAATGTACCCAGGGGGACCCAAGCTCACCTGAGGCAGGGAACACTGGTGGGTGAGGTTTGGAAGGTGCGCTTTTCATAATAGAAATGGAAGAGGAGATATTGGGACCTAAAGTGACGTAGCAGAGAGGCACTGGGAATAGAAGAGGGAGGGGAAAGCATGGTTGGGATGGAGAATAAATAAATTAATTAAAAAATAAAGGCTAGAGAAATGACATGGTAAATGAAGGTATTTGGTTCTTTTTAAACAGGGTGTGTACTTGAGTTGTAGTAACAAATAGTGATTCACAACCCTAGTTCCATTTGTGTAGTTTCAGTGTGTCTAATACCCTGCTTTTTCCTCCGTGGGCATTGCGTGTGTATGTGTAATGTATATACATATTTGGCCAAAACATTTTCCTTTGTCTAACTAATTAAATCTAATGTAATTAGAAAAAGTATTAATAATTGGTCCTTTACTTTCCTACCAAACAAACAATTTGTCTATACCCCACAAAACCTTGGCTGTTTTGAAACTTGTGAATATTTACAGATCAGATTGGTAGGGGCATTTTCTGTTGCTGTGGCCTAGGGTGTCCTTTTCAGGGGACTATTGTACATATATTTGCTTTTCTAGGAACCACCTTTTCTGGTAAATTGCCCACTTTTCTTCTCAGTTCTATACAGAATTCTTCTTGATTTGTAATTTTTCCTGATATAACTTCTGCATATCTTTCCCCATGTGATATATTTGTGATTAAAGTCACTTTGTTTGAAATATAAATCTCACTTTAGAGCTTACTTTTGTCTATCCAGTCTGACAAGGAACACATTTGAGACAGAGCACAGCCTCCTGTAGCCCTGCACATTGCTTACCTGTAGGCTGAAGATGAAGTAGAGGAAGGCAGCCCCAACCTGCATTCAGAGCACCTGACACAGTGGTCCTTGGGGGAAGAGCTTCCTTTTTGTATTTACAACAGTAGAGAAGACTTTGTGCCCTTAGTCAGACCCCATGTTTCCAACGCTCTTCCACATCTGGGGGAAAAGACAAGAAATTTGTTGCATAGAGTCCTTCTTAGAAAATAGCCTCAAGGATGAGGACGCTGTGTAACAGACTACCAGTTGAGATTCAGGCTCCTTAATTCTCTTCCCCCTGGGCACACAATTCCAGCCCAGGTTCTGAGGTCTGAACACTTTTGAGTATGGAGTAGTGCCTAATTTCCATGTCAGGAGATCAGGAAGGGATGTGGGAGCAAATCATTAACTTTTTTTGGTTAGGAATATCCTTTTTAGTTTCAAACCTTTATTTAATTTAATTTGTTTCAATGTGTTTCTGAACACAGAGTACAGAGGCCTCCTTTCAGGAATCACATGTATTTTTCCATATATTCTTTATTTAAATTTTTATACATGTCACTTTCAGTTCCCTCTCCCTCCCCTCCACCCCCACTCCCAATCTGCCCAACCCATCACCCCCACTCCATCCCCCTTATGCTCCCCAGGGTGTGCAAGGGCCTCCATGAAAGATTTTCAGGTTCTGACACATCATCCCCAGAAGGACTCAGGTTCTTCCTCAAGTGTCCAGGATAAGAGAACATCCCTCCATGGGTCATGGGTTCCCAGATCCTTCAGTATGCCAGGAATAAACACTGTGGAGTCTCATGTATTATAGCAGGAAATAACTCTTGGCTGCAAGCTCTTTAAACACTGAGTCATCTCGCAGACAGTTCTTTTGTATTTCTGTTAGAAATGGGAATTAAATTCATGACATCACACAGGCTGTAAACTGTTCTACTACTAGGGAATAGTCTGAACCCAATTTTTCTTTTCTGCGACAGAATCTCAGTATGTACTCTAGGATGTCTTTGAACTCACAGCAATGCCCCTGCACCAGCCTCTTGAGTAAATAATTGCATTCACAAGCCACAAGTTTCAGCTTCCCAAAGTTTCCATTTTTTTCTTTTGAGTTGTCGATTGTTAAGGGTTATATTAAGTAAAGGTTCTGTGTTGCAGATGTCTGCCATATCACTACTCAAGGCTGAAGCAGGAGAATGATGAGACCAACACACTTTATTCTTTGTTAGGGCTTCCATTGCTGTGATAAAACAACAGCAGTAAAAGCATCTAAAGGAGTAAATTATTTATCTCATCTTACACATCCAAGTCATAGCCCATCACTGAGAGGATTCAGGGCAGAAACTGGGGAATGACAGGAACATGGAACGTGGAAGTAGAGCAGAAAACATGGAGTATCACTGCTGACTTGCTGGATCCTTGTGGTTTGCTCTTTCTGCATTCATATACAGGTCATTCCCACCTGCCTAAGGGTGAAACCACACACTATTGCCTGCACCATCCCACATCTTAACTATTTAAGAAAATACATGACAGGCTTTTCAAAAATTCTATTTTATGGTATCATTTTCTCAATTTTTGTTTCTTCTTCTCAACCAGTACTGAACTTACCTCAAAATAAAATTGTAAAAACCTATAAACATATACTTTGATAAATCCTTTGAAAGGAGCAGCTACACATACACACACATAAACACACACTCACAAACACACACACACACACAGAAACACACACTTACACAGTTATCAAAGCATGTTTACAGGATCTGTAAGCCCCAGAATGTATCCTTTCCCACAGCAAGTAGGATCTATTATTTGAGGGGGGTCTCAGGTAAACCGTTTTGCTTTACATATAACAATGAGCTTGTTCCAGGGACATGGAAGAAGACTATTTCAGAAGTCAAGTAAAGTCACATTTGAAGAGAAAATGTCCACTCAAGAAAGAGTGACACCTGGAGATCTGGGGGACAGGAACAGGAAAGCAACAGCTACCAAGTTTGAAAACCAATGACCTGACAATCTGTGACAGAAACTACTACTTAAATATTTGAGGTAAACTGATGGAGGTATTATTTCCCTCATTATGGATTGCTTTCTCTGCTTGTAACTTTATAAAGAAGGCTAATGTTTCTTGTGTAATAATTTTTTATCCTGCTAATTTTCTGAAAGTATTTATCACTTATATAATTTTCCTGGTGGAATTTTTTAATGTACTGTATGTATAAAATCATATCATCTGCTAATAACAACAGTTCAACTTCTTTCCTATTTGTATTTCTCTGGTCTTCTTCAGTTGACCCATAGGTCTACCTAAGAGTTCAAGTGCTTTATTAAATAAGTCTGGAGAGAGTGAACATCTTCGGGCTGTTTCCAATTTTAATGGAAGTGCTTGTAATTTCTCTCTGTGTAGGATGAGGTTGGCTGGTGACCTGCAAAACTACCTTTTTGTGTTGAAGAATGTCCCTTTTTATTCCTTGTCTATCCAGGACTTATACTATCAATAATTGGTGCATTATGTAAAATGCCCTTTCTCCATCTATTGTTTAAATGAGTTTCATTTTGTTTATGTGGTGGATTACATTCATTTATTTCAGTATATCAGACCATCCATTCATCGCTGGGATGAAGTTTAGTTGAACAATTTGGATAATCATACGGTTCTGCTCTAGACCACTGTCTCTCTCTTTATACTTTCATTGGATCCAGATGTTGAATTCTGGTATTTCTCAAATACCATATATCCCTTTTGTACTTTCAAAGGACTAAATTTTGAAAGTATTATCCTGGCCCATTTAGATTCTTTTTAATAGGTTTCCATTGTCTTGGTATCTTATCACAGCAATAGAACATGGACTAACACAGACAACTTAGTGTTTGTTTTGTTATTTTAGGTGCCCTAGTGTTTGGTGCATAAATATTTAGGATTGTAATACCCACTTGTTGTAATTTTCTTTACTGAGCAGTGTAGTGTCCCTACCTCTTAGTTTTGGTTTGAAGTATATTTCATCATACATTTAAATGTGTATGTCTGCTTAATCCTTGGTGCATTTGCTTACAACACATGTTTCTATTCTTTTTCAGAGGCAATGTCTCTCTTTGAAGAGGAAATGTGTTTTCTGTATGTAGCAGAAGGTTGGATACTGTTCTCTAATCTAGTCTTTTAGTCTGAGTCTTTTCGTTGGGGGAATTTGCACCATAGTGTTGAGAATTTTAAACTACCACTGCTTACTGATTCCTGTTATTTTTTCTTATGGTGCAAGTTCTCTTTACTTCATTTGACTTATTTGTTCTGGGTTTATTTCTTGTGTTTACTTGTGTTTGGTTCACCCTTCATCATGAAGTTTTCTTTCCAGTGGCATCTGTAGAGCTGGAGTGATAAATATAATTTTTTAAAACTTAGTTTGATTGAGGGAGGCTTTTTGTCCTCTGAGTGTGGGTCACAGTTTTTCCGGTATAGAAGTCTGAGCTGTCATCTATGGTCTCTCAGGCCTTCTGGCTTTCAGAGACTCGACCATGAAGTTGGGTGATTTTCTAATGGGCCTGAATTTATGTGATACGTGACCCTTTTCTTTTGCAGTTAAATACACTTTCTTTGTTATGTATATTTAGAGTTATGATGTAGCTTCTACAGGACTAAGTTAAAGTTTGCAGAGGTCATCATGCAGGATAAGTAGATGAGTGAAAATTGCCTATCCAACTACCAGGCCAATGTGGTCACTGGGAGTTCCTGTTAGAAAGTGTATTGGTGGAGAGGTAGCTGCCATAAAGGCATGGATATGTGCTTAAAGAAAAGGAAGAACCAGGCTTGTATTTATTTATCTCAGGGTCTGCAGTATTCTTGAATTGTTTATATTGGCTGTGTTTAAATTTTGTAAGTCACATATTTCCAGAGTTCATTTACTTAGATATTCTGTATAATATTATATATTGTTTAAGGGTCATCCTAATAATTAGTTGAATTACATTGGTAACTCTTTTAATGGTCTTATAAATCTCTCAATTTCTGGTTCTCAACAAGGAAAAATCTGCTGAAAACCTATGGGTTTTTTATGTTCATGGACTCAAATTTTAATATTAACAGTCTGCTTTGCCCAAAACAACTTTTTATATGGTAAGAAGTGGATACTTCAGAGACTGAATGGTACCTCATGTAGAAGTAAGAATCTCCAAAATCTGGCATTCAGAATATCACTTGAATTGTCTTAAGTGTGCCATAAGTTTTGGAAGACTGAAGAAATCACTATCACCAAATTCCTAAAGAAGTGATTTATTGTAAACCGTTACTAAGCTTGAAGGAATATCTTTGTTAGTAGATATACTTTTTGGAATTACAACAAAGGTATACAATATTACCATAGAAAATTAGTGAAAATATTGATATTGCCTTATATGATAATTTTACCAAAAATTGCAAATTTTTAAGGGGCATGTTATCAAAGAAATTCTTGTGATACAGAAATTGGCACACAAACAAACAGGAGGCTAGGTTACTCAACAGTTTCTTATAAGAACAGTTATTATGGGGAGTCCACCAAAGATGACCACTCAAAAAAATACTGAAAGTATATATTCCAGTTTGCTGGGGCGATACTCAGGTAGAAGGCAGAAAATCCATCTTGGTGTCTTGCTGGGAAGCTGCAGTGTTGAGGTTTTGCACAAACAGCTACATCAGTAGTAGCTAAGGAAAACAGTTAGTTGGGTATGGGATAGGGATGTTCTGTGAAAGCACTCAGTTTAATAGATTCTAATATAAATATTTAGCAGGAGTGGGTCTGCAGAAGGAGACATTTTCTAAAATATGTTTTTATTTAATTTAGAAACATGCATACTTCAAATGGTAATCCCAGGTACCTCTCCCACCTCTCCTCCCTTGTCCCTCCAATACCACACCACCTGCCTCAACTACCAACATGCCCCTAGCCCAATCCCCACATTATTCCCCAGGGAGGGTGAGGTCCTCATTGTGGGGGTCTCCAGAGTCTGTCATTTCATCCAGGGCAGGACTTCGGCCCTTCACCATGTGTCCAGGCTGAGAGAGCATTCCTCCATGTGGAATGGGCTCCCAAAGTTCATTTATTTATACATCATGGTGAACACTAATCTACTACCAAAGGCCCCAACGATTTCTGAGGCCTAGAAGGAGACATTTTAACGTAACGTAAGATAAGCGGTTGGGTGAGATAATGGTTTATACAGACAATGAAACATGATCTACAATAAATAGCTGGAGGGGAAGGTTTGCACAAGCACACAGTTTAGCAGATGCTAGGATAAGCAGTTAGCTGTAGGGGAGGTTTGCACAAGTAGACAGTTTAACATGAACTACAGTAAACAGCTGACTGGAGAGGAAGGTTTCCACAAGAAGACAGTTTAACAGAATCTAAAATAAGGAGTTAGATTGAGAGGAAGTTTTGAACAAACTGACATGCTCAGATAAACCGTTAGCTGCAGTGGGAGATTTGTACAAGCCGGCAGTTTAACATGAGCTAAGATAAGCAGTTTTCTGGAGCATATTGACCTTGGCTTCCTGGGACAGAGTTGGGTAATTTTCCACATGGGTTCCCATCAGAGTCAAATTCTAGTTGAGCCTATAGTGGCCTCAATAAGAATACAAGATGGAGGAAGCTCTTCACTGTCTTGTCCTCTTCCACAGTGACATTTACTCAAGTTTGTTGAAAGCCTTTATAACAGATAGTTGAGGAAGGTTTAAGGAACACCTCACAGGTTACATCTTGTTTTGAAGTTCTTTAAGTCAAATGGAATTAAACACCTACAAGAATTCCAATATTGCTATAAATATTGTGCATCTGTAACTTGCAAGAGAATGCCTTTAACTTTAGAACCTGCATCAGCCCAAAGATGTTCCCCATAGGTGATGACATGGCGGTTATAAATAACTAACTCATAATGGTAATTACATAGAATCCTACTTCATATTGAGAATTTAGAAGACAATACCAGAATGAAAGTGACAAAAATGTTGCCCATAGATCTAAATGAACGTTAAAGAGTAACTCTAAACAAAGATTTCCCAATATATCACATATAGGCAATTGATACCACTCAATTCTCTTACAAGAATGAGCATCCCTAGAGACCTTAAGATATTACCAGATTAAATCTATTGAAAACTTTATACACTATATCACTTTTAGAATAATTTCTCTAAACATATCAAGTAGTAACATGAGTGGCCCTGATAATTTCCTAGGGAGTGGCACTATTAGGAGGTGTGCCTTTTTTGGAGCAAGTATGTTACTTTGGTTGCAGTCTTCGAGGTTCTCTGTGCTTAGGATATCAACCAGTATCTCAGTTGTCTTTCTGTTGCCTTTTGTTCAAGATACAACCAGCAGCATATGTGCCTCAACCTGCCACGATCCCTGTCATGTTCTCCACCATGATGGCAATGGACTGAAACTCTAAAATTGTAAGTGAGCCAATTAAATATTTACTTTATAAGATATGCTATGGTCAAGGTGTGTCTTTACAGATATGAAAACATAGGTAGCAGCTTCTTTCATATTCCTGTTATAGACCTGTCAATTTTTTGATTTGGAAAAATTTGTACTATGGTACTTTGTGTTTGGAAAATATTGCATCGCTTTAATTGATGCTTAATGAACCATACAAGTAGAGCATAGAAGATATAGTACTAAGAGTTATTTGGACTATGGGGGCTCACTCAAAGAGAAATTCACACAGAGGAGAAGAATTTTTATTTATTTATTTATTTTTATTTTTTTTTTTATTTTCCAGTTTAAATTTAGATAAGAAACGAGGTTGCTTCACAAGTCAGTTCCAGGTCCTTCTCCCATTCCCTCCCCTCCTCCCGTGCCCTCCCCCCAACCCCCCCCCCCGTGTTATCCCCTCATTCCCCCAGGGAGGGTGAGGCCCTCCATGGGGGTGTCCATAGTCTGTCATTTCATATAGGGCAGGGCCTAGACCCTTCCCCAAGAGTTCAGGGTGAGAGTGCACCTCACATTGTTCTATGGGAGTCCAAAGTCCGTGTGTATACTTGGGATGGGTACTGATCTGCTGCCCAAGACTCAATAGATTCCCTAGGCCTCCTCACTGACACCCATATTCAGGGGGTATTGATCAGTCCCATGCTGGATTCCCAGGCTGATGCCTGGGTTTCAAGAGTTAACCTTTGTCTAATCAGCGGTTTCTGGGGGGTTAAACCAGCCCAGTCTTAATCCCTTTGATCACCAGTCCTCCCTCTCTGTTACCGGCTTTCTTGAGTTCAGCTCAGTACTTAACCAAGGGAGTCTGCCTCTTCTTCGATCAGCCACTAAATGAAGTTTCTGTTTCCCAGACTCTCTGGCCATAGGATTGTAGGCTGGCATTCCCCAGATCTATGTCTAAAATCCATATATGAGAGAGTACATGCCATGTTTCCCTTTTTGTGACTGGGTTACCTCACTCAGGATGGTTTCTTCTAGTGTCATCCATTTGCCTGCGAATCTCATGATTCCATTATTTTTTTCTGCTGAATAGTACTCCATTGTGTAGATGTACCACATTTTCTCTATCCACTCTTCGGGTGAGGAACATCTAGGTTGCTTCCAAGTTCTGAATATTACAAATAAAGCTGCTGTGAACATAGTGGAACAGACATCTTTGTTGTATGAATGGGCATCTTTTGGATATATGCCTAAGAGTGGAGTTGCTGGGTCTTGTGGTATGTTTATTCCCATTTTTCTGAGGAATCTCCATACTGATTTCCAAAGTGGCTGAACCAGTTGGCACTCCCACCAGCAATGGAGGAGTGTTCCCCTTTCACCACATCCTCTCCAGCATAAATTGTCATTGGTGTTTTTGATTTTAGCCATTCTGACAGGTGTGAGATGGTATCTCAGAGTTGTTTTGATTTGCATTTCCCTGATGGCTAAAGATGTTGAGCACTTTCTCAAGTGCCTCTCAGCCATTTTAGACTCCTCTATTGAAAACTCTCTATTTAGTTCTGCAGCCCACTTTTTAATTGGGTCCTTTGCTGTTTTGGAGACTTGCTTCTTGAGTTCTTTGTAAATTTTGGAGACCAACCCTCTGTCAGATGTGGGATTAGTGAATATTTTTTCCCATTCTGTGGGCTGCCTTTTTGTCTTGCTGACTGTGTCCTTTGCCTTACAGAAGCTTATCAGTTTCAGTAGGTCCCATTTATTAATTATTGATCTCACTGTCTGTGCTACTGGTGTTATGTTCAGGAAGCTGTCTCCTGTACCAATTCGTTCAAGGGTACCACCCACTTTCTCTTCTAAGAGGTTCAGTATGGCTGGATTTATGTTGAGGTCTTTGATCCATTTGGACTTAAGTTTTGTGCAAGGCGATAAACATGGATCGATCCGCATTCTTCTACATGCCAGTCTCCAATTATGCCAGCACCATTTGTTGAAGATGCTTTCTTTATTCCATTGTATATTTTTAGCTTCTTTGTCAAAGATCAGATGTTCGTACGTGTGTGGGTTAATACCCGGATTTTCAGTTCGATTCCATTGGTCTACCTGTCTATTTTTGTGCCAATACCAAGCTGTTTTCAGGACTATAGCTCTATAATAGAGCTTGAGGTCAGGGATGGTGATGCCTCCGGAAGTTTCCTTGTTGAACAGGGTTGTTTTGGCTATCCTGGGTCTTTTGTTTTTCCATACAAAATTGATTATTGTTCTTTCAAGGTCTGTGAAGAATTGTGCTGGGATTTTAATGGGGATTGCATTGAATCTGTAGATTGCTTTTGGCAGGATTGCCATTTTTACTACATTGATCCTACCTATCCAAGAGCATGGGAGATCTTTCCATTTTCTGAGGGCTTCTTTAATTTCTTTCTTTAAAGATTCAAAGTTCTTACGATACAGGTCTTTCACTTGTTTGGTTAGCGTTACCCCAAGGTATTTTATGTTGTTTGTGGCTATTGTAAAGTGTGATGTTTCTCTGATTTCTCTTTCAGCCCTTTTATCATCTGTATATAGTAGGGCTACTGATTTTCTTGAGTTGATCTTGTAGCCTGCCACTTTGCTGAAGGTGTTAATCAGCTGTAAGAGTTTCCTGGTAGAGTTCTTTGGGTCATTGATGTAAACTATCATATCGTCTGCAAATAATGAAAGTTTGACCTCTTCCTTCCCAATTTATATCGCCTTGATCCCCCTTTGTTGTCGTATGGCAATAGCTAGAACTTCAAGTACCATGTTGAAAAGGTATGGAGAGAGTGAACAGCCTTGTTTTGTTCCTGATTTTAGAGGAATTGCGTTGAGTTTCTGTCCATTTAGTTTGATGTTGGCTGTTGGTTTACTGTATATAGCTTTTATTATGTTTAAGTATGTCCCTGTTATCCCAGATCTCTCCAAGACCTTTATCATGAAGGGGTGTTGGATTTTTTTCAAAGGCTTTTTAAGCATCTAGTGAGATGATCATGTGATTTTTGTTTTTCAGCTTGTTTATATGGTGGATTACGTTGATGGATTTTCGTATGTTGAACCATCCCTGCATCCCTGGGATGAAACCTACTTGATCGTGGTGAATGATTGTTTTGATGTGTTCTTGGATCCGATTTGCCAGTATTTTATTGAGTATTTTTGCATCAATGTTCATGAGGGATATTGGTCTGAAGTTCTCTTTCTTGGTTGTATCTTTGTGTGGCTTGGGGATCAAGGTTATTGAAGCCTGATAGAATGAGTTTGGCAAAGACCCTTCTGCTTCTATTGTGTGGAACACTTTGAGAAGAATTGGTATAAGCTGTTCTTTAAATTTCTGGTAGAATTCTGCACTGAGGCCATCTGGACCTGGACTTTTTTTGGTTGGGAGACTTTTGATGACAGCTTCTATTTCCATAGGGGTTATAGGTCTATTTAAATTGCTTATCTGTTCTTGATTTAGTTTTGGCAAATGATAGCTGTCCAGGAAGTCATCCATTTCCTTTAAATTTTCGAATTTTGTGGAGTACAGGTTTTCAAAGTATGACCTAATGATTCTCTGGATTTCCTCAGAGTCTGTTGTTATGTCCCCCTTTTCATTTCTGATTTTGTTAATTTGCGTGTTCACTCTCTGCTGTTTGGTAAGTTTGGACAAAGGTTTGTCTATCTTGTTGATTTTCTCAAAGAACCAACTCTTCGTTGCATTGATTCTTTGTATTGTTTTCCTGGTTTCTACTTTATTGATTTCAGCCCTCAATTTGATTATTTCCTGGTGTCTACTCCTCCTGGGGGAGTTTGCTTCTTTGTGTTCTAGAGCTTTCAGCTGTGATGTTAATTCTCTGGTATAACTGTTCTCCTGTTTCTTCATGTGAGCACTTAGTGCTATGCACTTCCCCCGTAGCACTGCTTTCAAAGTGTCCCATAGGTTTGGGTATGTTGTGTCTTCATTCTCATTGAATTCTAGGAAGTCTTTAATTTCTTTTTTTATTTCCTCTTTGACCCAGGGATGGTGCAGTTGAGCATTATTCAATTTCCATGAGTTTGTAGGTTTTCTGCAATTTGTGTTGTTGGTGAATTCTAATTTTAAGGCATGGTGGTCTGATAAAATGCATGGAGTAATTCCAATGTTTTTGTAGCTGCTGAGGTTTGATATGTTGCCAAGTATGTGGTTGATTTTTGAGAAGGTTCCATGTGTTGGTGAGAAGAAGGTATATTCTTTTTATGTGGATGAAATGTTCTATAGATATCTGTTAATCCTAGTTGTGTCATTACTTCTATTAGACCCTTTGCTTCTTTGTTGAGTTTCTGTTTGGTATTCCTGTCTAGTGGTGAGAGTGGTGTGTTGAAATCTCCCACTATAACTGTGTGGGGCTTTAGATGAGATTCAAGTTCTAATAATGTTTCTTTAACGAATGTGGATGTCTTTGTGTTGGGGGCATAGATGTACAGAATAGACACTTCATCTTGGTGGGTTTCACCTTTGATGAGTATGTAATGACCTCCTTCATCTCTTTTGATTGATTTTATTTTAAAGTCTAGTTTGTTAGATATTAGGATTGCTACCCCTGCTTGTTTCTTGGGTCCATTTGATTGAAAAATTTTTCCCAACATTTAACTCTCAGGTAATGTCTGTCTTTGAGGGTGAGGTGTGTTTCTTGTATGCAGCAGAAGGAAGGGTTCTGTCTTTGAATCCATTCTGCTAGTCTGTGTCTTTTTATGGGTGAGTTAAGGCCGTTAATATTGAGGGATATTAATGACCATTGATTGCTCATCCTTCTTTGATTTGCGATGGTTGTTGTTGGTGGAATTATGTGTGGAATTTCACCCCTTTGTTCTTTTGGCTGTTGGTAGAGAGGGATTCTCTAATGCTTATGTTTTTCTGGTTGTAGTTAGCTTCCTTGGGTTGTAGTTTTCCTTCCGAAATTTTCTGAAGGGCTGGGTTAGTGGACACATATTGCTTGAATCTAGTTTTGTCATGTAATATCTTGTTTTCTCCGTCTATAGTGATTGAGAGCTTTGCCGG